CAAAACCCCAAAACCCCAAAACCCCAAAGAACTAAAATCACTAAATATAATTGTAAATATGAATAAGAAATTCTTGATTAATGTTTAATTAATAAAGATACTTAGTTATATATTAATAAAAATGTAGAACTAGAATTCAAGTCCTAGTAACTAAAATCCCACTAAGTAAAAAACATATACTCTTAAGGCTCTCGAATTTGTGTGATAACTAGACTAATTTGGAGTGCCCATTTCCCTAACATACAAGAATGAGCCAGTCTTGAAAACTTATGCTGGAGGAATTTCCACTATTATATCAAGAACTATTGTCTTAGCATTTATGATTGTCTAAATATAAGATGTCTACTTTAGAGTTAGCACTATAAAGACTTCAATATATAAAAGAGATCTTCATAGTGATAATACTGAATACAATCTATCTAAAGAAAATTTTGATATTGGAATAAAACTTGAATACATATTCTTGTAAAACGAGCCAGATGTTTAAGAGAATTTGGATTAATATGTTTATTTGTAACTTAGCTAAAATGTCTACACATGGGTAAAAAATTAGAAAGGAGATAGTTATCAGGCAAAATATAAAAAGAAAATTGAGCTAAGCCGATGCTAAATTGGAAGATTAGATGATGGTTAGTATCATTAAGATTTCTTGGGCATTTATGATAGCTACTTATGTCCTGATAAAGTTGATTTTTAGGTTAGTGGAAGCTTTGCTGTTGAGCAAGCCAAATTTATATAAATTGCAATACGAGATTGCAATCAAACTTATTTGAATGAAAAATACAACAATACCAAATAATGTAAGTCTAAAGATGAGATTACTAGAGTTGCTTCATTCCTTAAGCTTTACATAATCAATCAAAATTCTTTTTTCGATGATAAATCCTTCGAAGATGTCTCTGTGAAGAAGTATCTCAATACATTCTATTTGACAAGTTTCGAATAGAAAAGCATCTATTACTATATGCATTTAAGTCAAAACAATATTATAAGAAAAGATAATATGATGTATGGTTCAGATATTGAAGAAAAATTTATTGAAACCAAGATTGATCATAATGTAATATAAGAAATAAATTCAACGGACCCTTACAATAATGCTTACATTGGAGTGTATATATTTATGGATGACGAGGTAAAATAAATTGAAAGGAAAGTATTCAATGTTTCTGATGCCCTTAAGAACACCGGAGGTTTTATGTCTGTAGTACTGATTATAGCATATATTCTTGTTTATAAAATCTAGCAAGCAATCTACTATAACACTCTTATTAAAAGCTTGTATAGATACTAGAATATGCTTTCTGAATACAAGTTCTAAAGAAAAAGTAATATAGAGTTTTCTATTAATAGAAGTCAACCATCACAAAGAGAAGCATAACCATAAAGAAAAACAATTGAGGATAAATGACCACTCCTGGAAATAATACTAGAACATCTCAGAGATAGATCTAAATTGAAGTTCACTGTGAAAAAGAATTTTAGAATGTACATGAGAAAGTATGGTTTCTGCCGAACTAGAAGTAGTAACTCTGCCTTTAAAGATAAGCTCTATGAAAACGGTTTGTTGAAAGTACAAAGAGAACTGGATATAAGAAATATATCCAGGGAATTAAGAACAATGAAATTTGTTACAAATATTATTTTAGACAAGTATCAAAGATATATGCTGCCTTTATTTAAAGCTAATTTACTCAATAACTAGCCAAAGATGCTAAATTTTGATATCGATGATAATATTCTTTAGGAAAGTCTTAGTAGTATTATTCTCCAAGAAAAATATAATAAGACGCAGAAGAGAATTTTAAAGAATATATAGCTTGATGATAAAGAATTTAGACTCTCAAATGATGTTGTAATGAAGATGAGGAGACCAGCAACTTTTATTGAAATGAGAAAAAGCCTTAGATCTTAAAATTAGCGATTTCTAGAATAAATAAATTAAGACTATCAAAATGAATATGAAATAGAACAAAGCATAGAGGATTCAGATAGTTTTGGTCAAGAGTAACCGCATTCTTCACCTGAGCAAATAAACGAACTCATTTAGCTCAATATTGATGAAAAGTAAAATAGTTTGTTTAATTTTTTTTAGTATCTGGATAAATGCATAGCCGAATTCCTCTCATACAGTTATTCCATTGAAGAACAATCTAGTAGGTTTTGTAGTAATTTTCATGAAAAATTATTTACACAAATAAAATGCATCGATAAATCGAATTATCGAATCAGTCATTTATCAAGCAGAAACTGAAAACTAATAAAATAGTTTTGAATCTAGAGAAAATTCTTAAAGAAGATTAAATAATTCATAACTAGAAATTTTTGAAGAAGTAAGTGAAAAATAGGCATTAGATTTAGAGAATATTGAGTTGCAATTTTAATCAGTAGATATTGAAAATTAAGAGGATAAAAATATTAAGGAAATTGATTAGTTAAAATAGATAGATTAATCCAAGGATGATGAGGATTAGGCACCTCCAAAATTGAATTTTTTAAAGAACATTTGATTAATAATAATTTTTGTAATGATTTAATTGATTTTACGACTGTATGTCTTATTTTGGAACTGTGGGGTTTTGGGGTTTTGGGGTTTTGGGGTTTTGGGGTTTTGGGGTTTTGG